CTGCTTATCCTTAGGGATGTGCCTGAATTTTCTTTAAAAAAAAAAAAAAGGGCTTGGAAACTAATTTGGAAAAAGTTTAGTAATTAAATGGAAGACAATGTAAACTCATTATGGTTGTGAGGCAGTTCGTTAAATTTGTTCTTTTCCTTTGCTAGGAGATAGAGTTAAATATTATAAATGCATTGATTTGTTCTCAAAGTTAATGTTCTTCTCTTCTGAGCTTTATACCACATTGAGACTCCCTCAATATCTCTTTCTCTTGCTCTATGCCTGTGTATCTGACCATCAGTTTCTTTCTACTTGCACAGATATGGATAATAAAGTCAAACAAATGATCAAACTTATTGAAGAAGACGCAGACTCCTTTGCTAGGAGGGCCGAGATGTACTATAAGAAACGGCCAGAGCTTATGAAATTGGTAGAGGAGTTTTATCGAGCATACCGTTCATTGGCTGAAAGATATGATCATGCAACTGTGGTGCTCCGCCAGGCTCATTGGTCTATGGCAGAAGCATTTCCCAACCAAGTTCCCTTGGTATTTCCAGATGATTCACCTGCAGGTTCTGCTACTGAGGCTCATCCACATACACCAGAGATGCCACCCCCAATTCGTGTACCATTTGATTCCGATGAGTTGCAAAGGGATGCTGTAGGAATCTCTTCGCCTGCTGGCATGAGGAATGGAGCCTACACTGAAGAATCTGACTCTGTAACAAGCAGGAAGGGTTTGAGAGAGTTCAATGATTTGTTTGGGTCTGGAGGTGCAGCAAACCATGTAAAGTTTGGGGAAGGAAGGGCAAGAAAAGGTCTCAAATTTCATGATATGGATGAGAAAGACCAAAATTCTCCAAACCATGGGAACACTGACCAGAAGGTTCACATCCTGTCTGAATCTGAACGAATGAGTAAGGCTGAGATGGAGATTATAACCTTGAAGAATGCTCTTGCCAAATTAGAAGATGAAAAAGCAGCAGGCCTACTTCAATACCAAAAAAGCTTAGAAAGATTGTCTAATCTGGAGACAGAAGTTACTTGTGCACAAGGTGATTCCAAGGGACTAAAAGAACATGCCAAGAAAGCCGAAGCGGAAGTTCAGACATTGAAGAGTGCCCTCACCAAATTACAGGCAGAGAAGGAAGCTAGTCTTGTTCAATACCAGCAGTGTTTGGAGAAAATATCTAATCTTGAGAATGATATTTCTTGTGCTCAAAGGGATGCTGGAGAACTAAATGAGCGGGCTAATAATGCTGAAACTGAAGTTCAAGCCCTAAAGCAAGACCTTTCCAGAGTAGAAGTTGAAAAGGAAACTGCTCTGCTTCAGTACGAGCAGTCCCTGGAGACAATATCTAATCTGGAAGAGAAACTACTTCATGCTGAAGAAAATGCCAGGAGGATTACTGAGCGAGCTGAGAAAGCTGAAAGTGAAGTTGAGACTTTAAAGCTAGTAGTCAGCAAGCTGACTGAGGAGAAGGAAGCAGCTGCTGTTCAGTACAACCAGTGCCTAGAGAAAATATATAGTCTGGAGCAAAAAATTGCTTCTGCTGAAGAGGAAGTTCTGAGGCTTAACAGGAAGGTTGATGATGGAGTTGCTAACTTAAAGGTTTCTAAAGAAAGATGTCTTCTATTGGAGAGATCCAATCAAAGTCTGCATGCTGAATTCGAGTCTTTGGTGCAGAAGATGGGGGCTCAAAGTGAAGAGCTGACAGAGAAGCAGAAGGAGCTAGGGAAGCTTTGGACTTCTGTTCAAGAGGAGCGCTTGAGATTTATGGAGGCTGAAACTGCTTTTCAGACCCTGCAGCATCTGCACTCTCAATCTCAGGAAGAACTGAGATCACTGACCTTGGAGCTTCAGAATAGGGCTCAAATTTTGAAGGATATTGAAGCTCACAAACAGGATTTAGAGGATGAAGTCCTTAAGGTCAAGGATGAAAACAAGAGCCTGAATGAACTGAACTTGTCTTCTTCTGTGACAATTGTAAATTTGCAAGATGGAATTTTAAGTCTAAGGGAGACAATTCAAAAACTTGAAGCAGAAGTTGAACTTAGAGTGGACCAAAGAAATGCTCTTCAACAAGAAATTTACTGTTTGAAAGAAGAAATTAATGATCTAAATAAGGGGCACCAAGCTATGACGGAGGAGGTGGAGTCAGTGGGCTTAAAGCCAGAATGCTTTGGGGCATCTGTGAAGGAATTGCAGGATGAAAACACAATGCTAAAGGAGATCTCTGAAAGACTTGGAGATGAAAAACTAGCCCTTTTAGAGAAGTTGGACATCATGGAGAAACTTGTTGAGAAAAATGCTGTTTTAGAGAATTCTCTCTCCGATTTGAATGTTGAGTTGGAAGGAGTGAGAGGGAAGGCAAAGGCTTTGGAAGAGTCCTCTTACTCTTTCTTGGGAGAGAAATCTGCTCTTGTTGCTGAGAAAGATGCACTGATTTCTCAGTTACAAATAGCAACTGAGAATCTGGAGAAACTCTCAGAGAAGAAGAACTTTCTGGAGAATTCCCTTTTTGATGCCAATGCTGAACTTGAAGGGTTGAGGGTAAAACTAAAGAGCTTAGAAAATTCATGCCTGTTGCTTGAGGATGAGAAGTCCAGCCTGATCATGGAAAGAGAAGGGTTGGTTTCTGAGTTGGATGTCAGTCAGAAAAGGCTGAAAGATTCAGAGAAAAGATATATGGAATTGGAGGAAAAATATAGAAGTCTGGAGAAAGAGAAAGAATCCATGCATCATGAAGTTGAAGAGCTGCAAGATTCACTAGCTACTGCAAAGCAAGAACATACTAGCTTTGCACATTTGAGTGAAACCCGGCTGACTGCCATGGAATTGCAGATTTATTCCCTACAGGAGGAAAGTCAATGCAAGAAGAAACAATATGAACAGGAACTAGACAAGGCTTTGACTGCACAGATGGAGATTTTTATCTTGCAACGATGTATTGAAGATCAGCAAGACAAGAGTTTCTCCCTGTTCAGTGGGTGTAGGAAACATTTTGAAGCATGTAAACGGTCAGAGAAACGAATCTCTAAGTTGGAGCATGAGAACTGTGAAAAACAGGTGGAGATGAGAACTGCAATTGATCGAATTAGAATGCTGAGGATGTCAATTTTTCAGGTGTTGAAGACTATTGGGATTGATGCATTCTATGATTGTGAAGATAAGATTGAGCAGGACCAAATGTATCTTAATGAAATAATTGGCAGACTTAAAGAGATGCAAACTTCTCTTTCAAGGGCGACAGAGGAAAATCAGAAGTCCAGTATCGAAAACTCAGTTCTTATTTCACTGCTTGGGCAACTGAAACTAGATGCAGAAAGTCTTGCAGCAGAGAAGAATGATCTTCATCAGGAATTGAGGATTCAATCTGAGCAGTTTACATCACTTCAGCACAGAGCCCAAAAACTTCTGGAGATGAATGAACAATTGAATTCAAAAGTGATGGCAGGAGGCCAGAGAGAAGTTGTTTTGAGTGCTGAAATAGAGAACTTACATGGGCAACTATCTGACTTGCAAAGGATATACCAGAATTTACTGGAAGAAAATTGCAAGGTGCTTGATGAGAAAAGGTCCTTGAAGAAGGAAGTCTTTGATTTGTGTGAGGAGAAACATGATCTACAAGAACAAAACTTAGTTCTCCTCTCTGAAGTGGTATCTCAAAGTAACATTTCTCTTATTTTCAAGGATATTATGATTGAAAATTTTGAGGAAGTAAAGCAGCTCAGTTTTAATCTGGGTAAACTTCACGGTGTCAATGATGGTCTTGAGGAGAATCTAAGGACGATGGAGAGGAAGCTTGAAGATATGCAGATGGAAAACTCACATCTCAAAGATTCATTGCGAAACTTTGAGAATGAACTTAGTTCGGTAAGATCGATTAGTGAACAGTTGAATTGTCAAGTTGCAAATGGGAAGGATCTACTGTTGCAGAAGGAAAATGTGCTGTTGGAGGTAGAACAGATGCTTGGTGCAGCACAGGATGAAAAAACAGAACTGCAGAAAATAATGGAAGACCTGAAGAGGAAGTATGAGGAGGTTTGCATGACACGAGGCAATCAGGAGAAAGAGATTATGAAACTATCTGAAGACTATGATCATCAGAGAAGGGAGACTGGATGCCTTCAGGAAGCTAATCAGAAATTGGATGTTGAACTGTTGAAATTGCATCAAGAGCTTGAGAAAACCAAATATGCAGAGGAAATTTTGAGTACTGAACTACTGAAGGGAAGAAATGAGACTGAACTCTGGGAGATTCAAGCTTCTGTACTATTTGGTGAATTGCAGATTTCTGTTGTGCATGAAGCATTGCTTGAAGGGAAGCTTTATGAGCTTAATGGGGCATTTGAAGGTCTTGAAAATCAAAGTACTTCAAAAGATATGGAGGTTGATGAGTTGAAAGAAAGAATCAGCACCTTGGAAGGAGAGAACGGAGGACTCAAAGCTCAGATGGCTGCATATGTTCCTGCTGTCAATTCTCTGAGGGACTGTATAACATCTTTGGAGAATTGTATTCTTGTACATGCTAAACATCCTGCAAGTGAAAATGAAAAGCTGAAGGTAATGTATTTTTGTCTTCTTTTGACCTTGTTCCACAATTCCACTGGCCAGCAATGGTCCATCCAGTCCATTTATCTTTTAGTTGTGGCACATATGAACCCCTGGAGATTAATTAACGTGCAGCTGGTTTTGTGCAATGTACATGTTAATTCACGTGCTGTTGATTTGTTTCTTTCTAATTTTTTTGAATCCTTAAGAGATTTTTATCTTGGACTTTTATGGCAAACAATTGTGTTGTATCCTTTCTTTTCACTTTTTGGTCAGGCCCTTCCATTTAATCTTTCTGGCTTGGTCATTTCATAAAATTACTCATTTTCTTAAGAAAGTCTGTATGGAATTGTATTATTATTATTATTATTATTTGGCCACTGGAATTTTATCATGTTAATGTCAGGCTTCAATTCCTGGTTGATCATAAAATTTCCATATTATTTAAGGCTAAAGTCAAGTCTGTTTACTTCTTCAGCTTCTTGATGGCTTTTAGTGTCGAAAATGGTTGAGTATGTGGTTTCTGGTTTTGTTTCTTCTTTTAACTTTCTCCTAGGCATTTTTATCAACAAAATGTTAGTATAATGGTTATAGGCATGTCAGCACCTTTTATCTAATGTGGACTTGAATTTTATCTTGATGGACTCGATCTAGATGATCAACCTTGTGTATAGAAGGTTCTTAATTTTTTCTAACCTTGCTACAGGATTCTGGTTAGTGACTCTGTGGTTCTTGACTTTTGGTGGTTGTTTTGTTTCTATTTTGCAGGATGCTAATGTGTTGGATAGACCCAATGGTGAAAGCTGTCAGCAGACGAATGACAATCAAATAACCTCAGTTCCTGATGGTTTTTTTGGCATTCAAGATGTGGAAGTGAGAATTAAATCTATTGAAAAAGCACTAATGGAAATGGAGAGGCTCACAATGCTGGAACGAATAAATGCTAATTCCAGACTAGAGGCTGCTATGAGACAGATTGAAGAGTTAAAGTCTGGAAACCACTCAGGTCGAGAAAGTGCAAATACAAAGCAAGAAGAGGATAGTCAGTTGCTCAGTAATGATCTCAAGATGCAGAAATCAACACTCGAAATCACCGAAGAGAGCAATGGTCTGCTGACAAAAGACATTATGCTTGATCAGGTATCCAAGTGTTCATCATATGGGATAAGCAGAGGAGAAACTTTGGCGGTTGATGATCAGATGCTTGAGTTGTGGGAAACTGCCGATACCAATGGCAGCACAGACCTGCAAGTTGGAGAGGCTTGGAAGGGAGTTGCCATGCAACATCATATTGAACCAGTTAAGCAAAACAAGGGAAGAAATCACTCCACAGAATCTCTGGTAAAGGAGTTGGGTGTAGACAAACTAGAGATCCCAAAGAGATATGCAGAGCCTCACCAGGATGGAAGCCAGAGGAAGATTCTAGAAAGGCTTGATTCTGATGCACAAAAGTTGACAAACCTTCAAATCACACTGCAGGACTTGAAGAGTACAGTGGAGATTACTCAGAAGGCCAAAAAAGGGAAAGGACTTGAACTTGATGCTGTCAAAGGACAACTGGAAGAAGCTGAGGAAGACGTCATGAAGCTATTTGATATCAACCGTAAATTGGTGTCTCATGTTGAAGATGGTTCCTTGTCCTCTGATGGGAACTCTGAAATAGGGTCAGATGGGAACCGGAGTCTTAGGAAACAGACAATATCAGAGCAGGCACAGAGAGTTTACGAAAAGATTGGGAGATTGCAGTTGGAGGTGCAGAAGTTACAATTTCTTATACTGAAATTAGATGATGGGAAAGAAAGCAAAGGAAGAACCAGAATCACAGAGGGGAAAACAAGAGTTCTCCTGAGGGACTATCTCTATGGTGGGATAAGAACCAGCCAGAAGAAAAAGAAAGCACATTTTTGTTCATGTGTGCAACCCTCTACGAGGGAGTGAGGCATTTACATTTCATTGGCATATATATGTTCAACAAATTCTGCATAATTTTCAAATATAAGAAGACATTAGTTGTATATTCTCCAGAAATTTTCTTATAGACAGGCTCTTGTTCTTTGGTTTAGAGGCATTGCTGTACATTTCAGGCTCCATCTATCAAAAGAAGCTGCTAGATTGTAGCCTTGCTTTCTTGGCTGGGCCGTCTTCTATTCAATTCATTTATACATCTACATAATCTTGTTAGCCATGAATTATGCCCCTAATGCTACTAAAATTTTTCACTTTATAAAGGAGCGCTTTTACATGGAGGTGTTCATGCAAATCAAATAAAATCCCAAACCAACAATATGCATGGTAGAGCTAGAGCCGCTATGGGTCAATATTATAGCGATCACTATAAGATCGATATAATGGTGAGGGTTAGCGTGCTATTCAGGTAGGTAAAATCTGTTACAAGAAAGTAGAAAGATTGCAGGCAGAAATCAGAATCAAAGTGTAGTCTAATGACACTGAAAAATGTGAACAACATTTATTCAGAGTGAACCCTCATGGAAATGATTGAGGAGGCTCGAACTTGAAGATCCAGACCCCAGAGGGACTGCTTTCCATCTTGCAGATTATTTTGGTGGAGCTTCCTCTTTTCTGTGCTGCAAATACTTGGCTACGTTTTCTCTCATATTTTTGCCTACTGGATCAACTTGTTTACAGCATTGCTCTTTATAACCACAGTCATGATGACCTGATAAAGCAACATCTGGATGCAACTGATCTCCACAGTCAAGAATAATATTGTGAAGCAAACAACATACCAGAATTATGCTTGGCAATTTCCGCCTATCAGGTCTCCACATGACCTTGTTAAGAATTCTCCAGTTGCCCTTTAAATGCAAAAATGACCTGGATGCAAGAAATCTTGCAGTGTTGTGTATTGAATTAAAAGTAGAGAGGGTAGTGGAAAGCTCATTTGTCTCAAAAGGAGTTAGGAGCCATGGAAGAAGAGGATATGCAACACCACCAACAATAAATTCTCTTATCTCCACTCCTTCAGAGAAAGTTATTGTATTTCCATTCAAGCGCTCTCCAGCCTCGCACAATCTGAAAAATTCTGAACATTTCAGTAGTCTAGACAGAGTCATGCCCCCAGGCCAGCCAGTTACAATATCTAGAAATCTCATTTCATGGTCAACAATACCCTGCAAGAACATGCTGTAATTGTTCTCTTGGTCACACCAATCATCAGAAGTTTGAACTGCTGGAAGGGTCATGATGATGTGCGTGGCATCTATAGCCCCACAACAATTAGGCAATCCGAATAATTCTTCAAATTTCAATTTAATTTCTTCCATTCTACTGGAACCAGGCCACTTGAGATGGTGCTTGGCACGTTCTTCCAATGCTTCGATGAACCTCCAAGTCACCTGAGAAACTGTGGATTGGCCAACCCCAAATGCTGCTCCAACTGACACTTGAGAGTCACCAGATGCTAACCTTCTAAGGGCAATGGCAACTTGTTTCTCAACACTAAGGAGCCTTCCCTCAATGTTAATGAGTCCTGATGGTGGCCTTGAAATTAAGTCTTCTCTAACAAGGGAACATATGTAATTGAAAGTATTCTTGGATACCCTGAAGAAATACTTGAAACCTTCTTCCTCATTCAAAGGAATCGAAAGCCCTAGAAGTTTGAACCACATCAATGATGAAGCCAAATCTAACACTTCTTTCCTCACAAAAGAATCAGTAAATTGTAACAACATTAAATCAATAACCCAATACAAATCTTTTAAACTACAGTATCAACATCCAATATTTGCCCGGTGAAGTGCTTAATAAGTCACTCAATCTTCTGGTTCTATTCAACTCAGTCCTTCTAAACACTTGTTTCCACATGCAATTCCAAAAATCACAACAGAATTACAAGCACTCTAATTCTTTCATCACCACTTTTTCTAGATACTAAAATGATTTTTATTTTCTCTTTCAAGACAAGGAATTTACCCAATACTACAAAAACCCATAATTGTAATGTCGTAAATTTGAAGATGTTTTCAGACAAACATGGGGAACTTGGAAGGAAATAAAGAGTAAAACAGAGAAATGCGAACCTGGGGTTGTGGAGTTCTTGTGCCAGAAACTATCCCACCAGTCCGATTCAATGGGTCTGGGTTCTGTAGGAACCGCGCTTATGCTTTTGGGTTTCTTCAATTTCTTCTTCTTCTTCAATTTCTTCACCGGAGCCATAAGGTTTTTTCCCACGGATTTGCTCCGCGAGAGAGTAAAGTAAGGGAAATAAACGCAAAAGGATAATTATCTTTGGTCCATGAGTTATGGGTAAGGTAGAGATTTGATCCATAAAGTTTATTTACTCACTTTTTGTCTAAAAACTTGCTAATATTAATGTGGTGCTAAATTCAATAAATAATCTATTAACTATATGATCTATTTCAATTTAGTTTAAAAATAATTTTTTTTTAAAATCATCTATAAACTATCAATTTTATTTCAAATTGATATATTTGACAAACATTCTGTTAACTATGCTAACAGAATTTCTCTAAACTCTTGAAAAATGTTAAATATAATACATATATTTTTATTTTTACAACATTTTGTTTTTAAATTTTAAATTTTTTGTAAATGTAATAATTAA